CGGTTCATGTTACACTTTTTACGGTGATGTGGCGGTGTGAGGCTGTGAGGTCAAATCCACAGAATTCAGAATACATGTGCAAGAAAATCTGCAAAAAATATTCATCACTAAATTCTTGTAATTGTTATTCTCCAATTACCCTAAACTCCATCCCCTGACTATAATGTTATAATGAAAATTTATATTTTACTTGGACTCTTATGACAACTTTCTGGTGCTTAAGACATTAGGAATGCGATATACAGTAATGACGTTCCAATTAGTATGTTGGATATGATATAATTATTATACAGGTGTGTTAAAGGGATTGGTGTGGAACCGACCTTTGAAATATAAGTATCCTTTGACTTTTATCCCATTGCTTATCATCAGTATGGTACATATGTCATGGAAATTCCGACCACAAGGGATGAAATGTAAATGCTGAGCAGAAAACCATGTTCTATTCAAAGACAATAATGTAAGTCGTCAAATGAAGAAAGTAATTGCGTAGAAATGCATTCACTTGTGATTCAAATGAATGTTTCTGCAGTGGACAGATATTATTTTATGTCGGTTCTGAATTCCAGCGGCCTCTATATGCATGGCTATTAAGGTTCGGCCACACAGAGCGCTACGCTATGTTCGCTACGTACGCTACGTACGCTGTGTACACTCTGCGACGCAGGTAACATAGGGAACATAGCGTACGTAACGTACGGAAGTCTGTATGGCCAGTCACATTGGCAATAAAGGAAGATATTTTTCTGTTAGTATAGCGAACATAGCGTGCATAGCGTGCGTCGCGTACGTAGCGCTCTCTGTGGCCGAACCTTTAATCTGAAGTGGAAGAGGCATGAGGAACAAAGAAAGAGAAATATAACGTTAGAAATAAATGAAGGAGAAAGAGAGGAAATTAAAGCTGAAGATGCGTAGGAAAATGAAAAAACTGGAGGGGGGGGAAGAAGAAGACGCAAAAGAAGAAAGGAATAGGAACGAATAAAATAAAGAAGCACTGGGAGAATTTAAAGAAGAGAAGGAGAAAGAAAAAGAAAAAGGAAAGTAGTAGACACGAAGACTAAGGGATACTATTATGTTACTTCGAATTGTTGGTAAACACCTGCCAGATTGCACAGGACCGCAGTCTAAATTGTGACCCCAGCGGTGAACTCAGACAACTTATAAAAAGGGAATGGGGCGCTACTCGTTTTAACAGGGGCCTACATTGTGTTAATGCTATATGTTTCTCGTATTTGCGATCTGGGTCAGAAATGGAAATACTTGGGCTGTATCCTGTGCACTGTTTCTCCGCTGAGAAAAGAGAAATTTTCCAGAGCCTGCAACATTCCCTTGGGAATCCCTTATGAAGCCCTTGTCCTGTTCTCTGACTTTGTCCGTGCCCTGAGCTCCTCCGTTCTACTGAATCAATAAAAGACGGCCTGTCACTGCCTGATATTTCAGCTTTCACTTAGAGGAATGTCTCTTGAGCTGGCTCGTAAGAGACTTATATTTGGAAAGACACATGAAATTCCAAATTGAATCTTATTTTCTTCTAAGATCGGAAGCCATGTTGTATGGTAGAACGTTACTGATATTTCGAAGAAATATACTGTTAAATCGTTAGGTTACAGACTGTGAAAGCAGACCTGAAGATGGAGACAGTAATGTGTGCCGAATCGGCGTAATTACCATAATACTAGGAGTCACATTTCAGAGGACATTAACCTTCACTGATAAGCTGAAAGAAATGGTGTAGTAATATCACCCCTGCATCGTATTCAGAGGTACTTGGGTTGAATCTCTGCCGGCAGACTGGCTATAAAAAAACTCAATGGTTTGTAGTCTGGAAGCGAACTATACCGACCGAGCGACCGCCGCTTGTCGACGAAGTTAATGCCAACATTAGCGGATAGAAGGTGTCACGGGGTCAACGCAACAGATACCTATGGCCGTTAATTTCGGTTTTCTAGACCGGAGCCGCTATTTCCTTGAAATGTCTCCTCAATTATCCTCACGAGGCCAAGTGGACCCCGTTCCAGACCCACTACCTCTCAGAAAATCTGGTAGCGCCTGGATTCGAACCCGAACCTCTGAATCTGTAGGTGTTCTTGTGTGTTTAAAGCGCGGGCTGAATAAATAAGTACAAGAAAATTATTCTGAATTTCGGTTCTCTGACAGCACATCGAACCCGGGATTTTTGAAACATAAGACCGATATGTGACCGATGAACTGACATGCTCATCGATACTGCGCAATGGCGGCGCTTTGTTTATTTTAAACTTAAGAACCAGGTGGAGTTACATCGGGCATTTAACCTGTAGAAGGTACCAATCCATTAATGAGACAGCAGTGCATTGTATGAATATCCTACTTTGCACTGTGCGGTCATCGCTTCTCCGGCTCTGTGAGGTGTGCTAGGCGTGTGATGACGTCACACAAGTATGATATACAGTAAAACTTGGTTATAGCAACATCGGTTTCTGCGACACCTTGTCTATTGCGTCAAATATTCAATGGTACGAACTAATTCCTCATAAAGCAACTGTTTTTATACCTTGCTTAGTACGACATGCACAAATGCATCAACCTCGTATGTAACGTCATTTTCATTCCNCGGTAGGACTCCTTGGACGAGTGATCAGCTCATCGCAAGGCCTCTACCTGTACACAAACACAGAAAAACGCACACAAACATCCATGCCCTTAGTGGGATTCGAACCCATGGTCCCGGTTTCCAGGCGAGCGAAGACAGTACATGCCTTAGACCGCTCGGCTACCGTGACCGGCAGTGTACACCTTTACGTAAACTAATTATGTGAAATAAACGTATAAATACGGAATAATTGAAAAACGCTAAGTAATACATTATGTGACGCGACATGAGGCCAAATGTTTTCGCAGTGGACAGTACACTACGCCCACTTTTCCTCGGACCCTAGCTGACCACAACCCCGTGTTTCCCAGTCTTAAAGTGGAGGAAGCGCACACTTGGGCAGTGCTATAACTAGAGAAGTGCCTTTAATTACTGGCCGTAAAGAAACGTGTCTCAAATAAAACGGGAATTTCTCGAGATCCAATTTCAAACCACTGTTTTCACCAAATGGTCTTCCGCGAAATGAAAATAAGCGTTCAAGAAAAAAATTGATTAATATATAAAAGCAAATTAACATACAATTACTATGACCGTAACTTTAAACATTTACAATTTTTGAGGCCTTTGAGAGCAGATATAAGGTACTATGCTAGAAGCGGCGTCGGTTCCAATTAGGTCATGAGGATTTTTCAATTTACCTACTCCTCCCAGCCTCACTATGGCCCTGGGGTCGACTCAGCCTCTAACAGAAATGAGTACCAGAAATCTTCCTGGGGTATAAAGGGCGGTAGGCGCGTAAGGCTGACAACCTCACCGCCATCTGTGAGCCGATTGCCTAGAAAATGTGGGAGCCTCGACGTCTCAAAACCTTAATGGCCTCAACGGCCCATCCCCTATTTTATGAAAAAGTTAAATATTATTAGCATTCGTGGAAAAACATAAATTTAATATTTCATATTATTTCTCTCTCTTCCAGTTTTAAAAAAATATATACCTATCGTTGATGTCACAGATAAACGATTCATGTAATTAAAACAAATATTCTGGTAAAATAAATACCTGTCATTAATGTCAGTTTCAACGATACGGGATAATTAAAACAAATATTTTGTCTTCCTCTTTAGTGATTTAATATTTATAGAATGGAATTGCTACATAGAAATATGTTTTAGTTTAAAACTGGAAACTCAAGGGTGTGTTTGAACACATGCAAGAAACTCAAATTTCCCCCACTACATTTTCTCTGCGACTGTTTAGAAAATGCGAAAATGTGGGAAAACTCCAGGAAAACTGATCACTTTTTCAGAATAGCGGTGTCTTTTTTTCAACAACACTGTGTGTAAATTCTTAATTTCAGTTTAAATTGTCTCAAATATTCGTGATGCAGCAGACGGACACGTGAACAGACAGATGTACTGACAGGACACTTGACAATTTCATATATATATACCCGTATATGTAAAAGTTAAAGCTATCCCTGTAACAGACCGTGGAGAAGGAGGCCCATAGGGTTGTGAGATGCCGTGGCTCCCACATTTTGTAGACAGATGGCAGTGAGGTCAGCCTTACGCGCCGCCCGCCCTTGACCCCCAGCAAGATTGTTGGTACTTATTCCTTTAGAGGTTGAGTCGACGACAGAGCCGTAGTGCGGTTGGAAGGAATTGGTTAATTGAAAAGTCCAGTTACCTCTTCGGGAATCGAACCCGCGACCTTCATGCTTATAGCGTAGTGTCTCAACAAACTACGCTACCGCGTGCCCAGTTATATATATTAAAAATAGAAAAATTTCTCACAGAATTTTCAGTTTTAAACTGCAGTCAGAGTACTAAAACCCTTAAGACGGTTTTGAAATTTCAATATATACGTCAAAGGAATATCTTCAATGCAAATAGGGAATTGCTTCCTTCCTGACTTGACACACAGGAAGTGGTTTGCTCCTGCAATATATTTTCCACGACCCAGTCTTCAGTCATGTTACAGAGGAATACGAGCGCAACACCCGCTCTCAGTACTATGAGAAGCCCAATAAGTTGCTGCACGAGTGTAACCCGAACTTACGCAACTCCATGTCTTTCATCTTATTTCAATTTCAGATATATGGAAGATATTCGCAGGTAACACAACTTCTCACTAAAGTGAACCCATGCTCTAGCAACTCATTAAGACGTCTACAAGTTGCATAATTTCCTCGCATACTTTCCTGTAATTTTCTTGGAACTTATAAAATGTTTCCCACCGTCAGTCCTGAGTGAATTTTCTTTTCTCTTTTGCGTTGTGTACTTCAAGTTCCATCTTGGAATACTTTTCCTAGAAAAATCAAGTGTTTAAAAGAAAGATATTCTTCGTCAAAGCCTATGTCTGCCAACTGCCACTACATACAAATTTTTAAGCTCGTCGGTGACTTAATGGTTTCTGTTCATTATTTCAGGAGCCAGGACAGCTCAGTCGGTATAGCAAATAGCTACAAGCTGGATTACTGGAGTTTGATTCTTGGCAGGTGCAAGATCGACTCTGGAGCCTACCCAGCCTTATATAAATTGGCTGCCGTCGATTCTTTCCCTGGAGATAAGCGGACGTGGCGTGGAGCTGACCACACCTACAACTAGAGCCGAGGTAAGGAATATTGAATGTATACCTCTACGCCCTAGTATCTCTTTGTGGCATGGTTCTTAATTAGTTAAGAACAGGAACAACTTTACATTCATCTTCATTTTGTATTTAAAACAGTTCATTTCCAGTGACATTTATACAACAGATTTCAATGTGTTTTCGTTTTTAAATTAGTTTCCATGTTTCTAGTTTGGGGCAGCGGTACCATAGTTGATTGAGGCATTATGCTACATGCCAGAAGTTCGCGGTCTCAGTTTTCGATGAGTTTATTGCATTTTTCAGATGATCTAAACCTTCTAGCCGCATTATGGCCCTGGGGTCGTCTCGGCCTCTAACAGAAATGAGTACCAGGAATCTTTCGGTGGTAAGGGCCTCCCGGCTCATAAGGCTGACAACCTCATCGCCGTCTGTGAGCCAATTTTCTAGATAATTGGGGAGCCTCGACGTTTCACAACCCTATGGGCCTCCACTGCCTGTTACAGAGATAGCTTTTTTTTTACCTAATATTTTAGCTTAGTATATATAAAAATAAATATGTGTACGGACTTCTGTTTGCTCTCTAGCCTTCTGTTCATAGGCAGTTCGAATTATTGTACTGAAGAGTGTTAGAAAAAGCACAGGTTATATGATAATTAGCTGTTTGTTTCCGGTCACTGAAACATTAAACATTTCATCACCGCTGCTCTAGTTGACCGTCTGTGTATCCCTGAAAGGATACGTCCCTTACCGCAACTTCACACTTGCCTTCTCCATATGAACTCCAGGGGCAGCCCATAATGAAAGCCCTATTCACATTTTATCATAAATTCGAAGGAAGTGGTTTCGCTTTTTGTATCCGAGAAAAGGCATATTATTGAGCAAAATGGGAAGTCACGGAAACAAATTTAAGATTTTCTAAGTGTCATAAATGTTAGCATATGTACATAATGTGCAGTTAGTGTGTAACAGTCGCAAAAGGCACTAGAAGTTCTTTTATTGGAGATAAGTTGGACACAGCACAAAGCTAAGTATCTATCTCGTTAAAGATGCTTGAGATTGACCTCCAATAGGCTACTCCACACACCGTCGTGAATGTTATTTACTATTAAAATGTTCTACCATAGAGGCTGGAGTGCATTAACGTTCTATAGGCTACTTCTGTGTCTAAGGTAACCTGCTAGACGTCTAACTATCATAAGAGCTATCTCGCCTGAGGGTTCTCAAATTATTACTCAGTCTCTGAATTATTGTATTGCCACTCATGGCAGCCGAGCGGTCTAAGGCATGTACTCATCTTCGCTCGTTCGGAAGCCAAGATCTAGGGTTGGAATCCCACACAAAGCATGTATGTTTAGTGTGTGTATGAATTTATTCTGTGTTTATGTAGAGGCCTTGCGACGAGCTGATCGCCCGTCCAAGGACTCCTACTGTCTGTAAAATGATCATGAAACTGAAAATCAGCTCTATGCTCCAAAGTGGGAACGAGAGAAAAGAATATTATATTAGTAAAATAAGTCCAAACTGCCACATTCTATGTTCGTATGAACTCAGTATGTATACATAAATACTTTACCAATGCATTTGAAACTGTATGCTCTAAGTTTCTGAAGACTATTCTGAAGTTATTCAATGATCACTCAATCGTGAGGTTCAGTCCCCCGCATGCCGCTTTTTCACTGCTTTGAGATCTAAATCTTGGAAGACACTTCACATAATTGGGGTTTCGCCTTGCACGAATGCTTAGAGCTTTAATTCGCCCCATTAGCAATTCTCGACAATGATATATTTCGAGCCTTAAACCCATAAAGTTCAGATGAGAACATAATTAGCCACTAGCAAGAACGGGAACCTTTGTCTTCATTTTCATAAGGACCCTGGCTTCTGGGGGAAGCTAACAGTCTCTATTATAATAAGGTAATCCTATTACAGGACCTTTACTTAGCTGCTTCAAGTGTTCTCTTCTGTGGTTCTTTGGAAGTTGTGTCCGTCAGTTTTAACAGATAAGTACTAATGAACCTCTGAACTTATCTGGATGGTGGTTTCCTTTAGGGAATTATAGGAATAGAGAGTAAATGTTAAAGAAGCTGAAAAAAATGAATTTCTTTCTAAACCTGTTCCAGATTATTCGCGGAAATCTTAAAAACTAAATCTAATGTTTCGAATAATACGTCAGACCAGTGTTATAAGCAGCAAAAAAGTTGTACATTTTTGCAAGCAAAAGCAGCCTTGATCAACAAGCGCATTACGTCAAACAGTGTGTTAAAATTTACCAAGCTAATACATAAAAAGAGAACTAAATTGAAATAACCACAAAAAGACAATAGGAAATTTAAAATAATAACAAATATTCAAATCGGTAGAGGCAAAAACAAGAAGAAAAAAACAAATTTTTGACTGACATAATCGACGTTCATGTCCTGATGCCACTGTGGTGTGGGAATTGTCATCCACCCGGAAATGGGTGTTGTGAAAGTTTATAACACCCTCCTTTGTGAATCCCGCCTCATAAGTAAACAACATGTAAACAAAAACCGTGTGCTTACAAAGCATTTTGCATTTGTGAAACCCCACCCTTGTTCGTTGATCAGGAGGAGCGGGGCTTTGCTCTCGCTGAATGTGGAAGAGTAAAGTGATTGTTCATGGAGAATTCTCCAGACAAGGGGATTGCCGATATTTCCAGCACCTGCAGTTGTTCGCACACCGGTTCCGGGATCTCCTTCCACACTCCTCAATACGTGATCTTCTTGAAACTTCTCCCATATCTCAGCAGGCATTGATTTCTGGACGTATGTTGACTGGGATTGGTTTGCTCATTTAAGTGAGTGCTGTACCCCTTTCAAGCCTGCAGCCCTTTCATCACATTCTGTATTCTACAATTAGGTGGCTTTTTGTCTCTTGTCTGATGTTGCAGGTCTTATTCTGAAGTTGTAAATATTGAACGGTTTGCGTGAGTGTGGGTCACTGAACACTCTCCATCTGTCCACATGTTTTCCTTTTTTCTACTGTTAGCGTGAGTTCCTGCTGACATTGTTGTTAGTACGTTACGGAACGGGGACTGGTTTTACTGGTTTCATGGTTATGCTTAATGAATAGTTCAGTTTTCTGTAACGCATGTGAATTGTTCCTATGAGTATAAAAGTCTTTTTCTTGTTTTATGGGTATACTTATAGGGTCCTGCTTACTTACACGTCTGGTGACGCTGGGTTTCGCAGTACCTGCGTGTCTAGGAAGTGACTGACCGTCCTGGAAGAACCAGGTGGTGGGAGAGTGCGAAGTCTGTCTGTTAAATAGGAGGGGAGTTCATCTGCATTCGTGCAGGGTTCCAAAATTTGATTTGGTCATTTCCGATCAGATGTCGCTAACTTTTATTCTCAGTTCACTATATTTAGATATGTATTATCTATTATTAATTCATTCATTCAGTGATTCTACAGCCATTTTGATAAGGCCTTGGCCTCTTCTTCAGTTCCATAATATTTCCACACAGTCGATAGGACTCTTTGACGAATGATCAGCCCGTCGCAAGGCCGCTACCTGCACACAGGACAACACAAACAGAATAAACGCACACAGACATCAATGCCTCGAGTGGAATTAAACCCACGATCCCAGTGTTCGAGCGGGCGAAGACAGTTCATGCCTTAAATCGTGCGGCCACTGTGACAGGCAAGCATTTACATACGGTAATATACATATCACTCCGTTACATCTGTTTGAAGCTCTGAACAGAACACTAAATCTTCCTAGATGTTTCTTCAGAACAGTATAGTGATAGCTGAGCTAATCCTTGCGACATAGCTTGATTTGTGGCTGTGAAGAACAAATTTTGGACTGCGTTTCATCCTGATCTGCAGTTCNGAAAATGTGGGAGCCTCGACCTCTCACAACCCTATGGGGCTTCACGGCCTGTTACAGGGATAGCTTTACCTTTTGCCTGCTAACCTGCACGAGCGGAACCATCTCCTTAACATCCATCCGTCTTCTCTTTAGGTTACAAAAGCGAACGCTGAGTACCAGCAACAGCCGACTTAATGTTCGGCCACACAGAGCGCTACGCTACATACGCTATGTTCGCTACGTACGCTACGTACGCTGTGTACACTCTGCGACGCAGCTAACATAGGGAACATAGCGTAGGTAGCGTACGGAAGTCTGTGTGGCCAGTCACATTATCAATAAAGGGAGATAATTTTCTGTTCGTATAGCGAACATAGCGTACGTAGCGTGCGTCGCGTACGTAGCGCTCTGTGTGGCTGAACCTTAAGAGTTGAAAAATAAAACCGAACGTCAACAAATCCGCCTGATATATCAACTTTCTCTCTTTTCGTTTAGGGAATATGTTCCTTTAGAATTAGCCCCCCCCCCCGATATACAAATTTCAAGACTTTTAGAATACCTTTAAGCCACGAATCCATTTTTACACTACTACAGCACACATGTCTTAGTGTGTCACATTTTATAATGAACTGAGACCGCAGTACTTTATAATAATTACAGCTATAACACGTGTTTATTTTTCATTTCTTTGTTCTTGTTTAATTGGACCCTCAACAATCACAACGATATTCGAAAATATGCGATGACGCCAATTTTATTAAAAATATCAAAGATATCTGGATTGAATAATAGTAATAACTCAACTGTTTTTATGGAGTTCATAGGTTAAGTGCGTATTAATGGAAATGAATGAGTTGGGACTTCAGTTACGTAGCATTCCCATAATTCTTACGAAAACCACTTTCGTGTTTCGCTCACCACGTCGGTGTGCGCCACCTATTTTTGGGAACAACTCGTTATGCACGTACTTTTTCAACTATAAGTCACAATTAAAATATTTCCCAACACATGTTTTATGTACATTTTTTCGTATGTGGAACTCGTGCCCAAAATGCGTCCGCACCTTTGTGTTAGACCCTGTATATCTTCCAACCTATCCGCAATAAAATTATGGAACGAATATTGTCATGAAGAGAATAAAGTATGTATTATAGTGTTGCAGAATTTCATTGTTACAATTTTTTATT